GATGTCTACAAGGATAACTACAAAACTCTGATGAAAGAAATTGCAGAGGACACAAACAAGTGAAGAAGCACCTCATGCTCATGAATTGGAAGAATCAACATTGTTAAAATGACCATATTACCCAAAGTAATCTACAGATTTAATGCAATCCTTATTAAACTACCAACATCATTTTTCACAGAATTAGAAAACAATCCTAAAATTCATATGAAACCACAAAAGAGCCAGAATGGCCAAAGCAATCCTAAGCAAAAAGAACAAAGTTGGAGACATCACACTGCCTGACTTCAAATTATACGGCAAGGTTGTAGTAACCAAAACAGAAAGGTACTGGAACAACAGCGGATACATGGAACAGTGGAACAGAATAGAGAGTCCAAAGATCAGCCCAAATGCCTATAATCAATTGATGTCTGACAAAACAAACAACAACAAATACTGCGAAAAGGACACCCTATTCAACAAATGGTGTTGGGAAAATTGGAGAGCTACAGACAGAAAAATGAAACTTGATCCCTATCTCTCCCCATATTAAAAAATTAGCTCAAAATGGATTAAAGACTTAACTATCAGATCTGAAACCATAATAACTCTAGAAGGAAACTTAGGAAAAACTCTTCTGGACATCGGCCTAGGCAAAGAATTTATGGCTAAAACCTCAGAAAGAAAATGCACCTAAAACAAAAATAAATGGGACTTAATTAAACTAAAAAACTTTGGCACAGCAAAAGAAATAATACAGTAAATAGGCAACCTATAGAATGGGAGAGGCTATTCATAAACTATACATGTGACAAGGGACTAATATCCAAAGTCTAAAAAAACTCAAACAATTCCATAAGAACAAAGCAAATAACCCCATTAAAAAGTGGGCAAACAACATGAATGGACATCTCTCAAAAGAAGATATACAAATGGTCAGTACATATGAAAATATGCTCAACATCACTCATAGTCAGGAAAATGCAAATTAAAACCACAATGAGATACCAAAAGTTAATCGGTTATGGAGGTGTGCACCTATAGTCCTAGCTACTCTGGAGGCAGAGATGAAAGGATCACCTGAGACCAGGAGGTCAAGGCTGTAGTGAGCTGTAATGGTGCTACTGCACTACTGACTGAGCAACAGAGGGAGACCCCAACTCAGAAAAAAAAATGAATAAGAATATCCATTAAATTTGGCAATCAGGACTCTGACTGTCTTCATCATAATTATCTTCACAGAATAGTGGGGTGGAAGACAGATTCAGCTGAGGAGTTAACTGGAAGTGAGAGAGTAAGGACAGCAAAGTATAAATTACTTTTTCCCCCAAGAAGTTTGGTCATGAAAAGGAGAGAAACAGGGTGGTAGATAAGTCCTTGTCATTTTGGATGGAGGGGGGGAAATGTAAGCCAGGTTCTAAAGATCCTGAGGAATGCAAGGAAATTAGGACAGACATAAATATATTTACTTGTTGATTTTAAAAGAAGTGGTGGAGAAGGTGTGATTCAGAAAACAGAAGAATCAAAAGAGTGCGTTCTCTAAGGAGGTGAACATAAAGATGAGAGGCAGCCTTGTTCAGGGACACTATCTCAACAGACACAGCCAAATACCAAGAGTGTGATTATGAGCACAGGTGAGGGCAGGCTTAGATGAAAAGAAGTCAATGTTCCCACTTATGGTGCCTGTTTTCTCAATGAAATCTTCACTAAGAGCGATGGTGGTAGCTTGGAAAGAGGGTTAAACATTTAACATCATTATCGTGGAGAACAGCAGGAAGCCACTACTTAACAAGACACTGAAGCACTGCTGGTTGGACTTAAGACCAGACTAATAGAAGCCCATGAATATACTGTGGTACCAGTTCAACAAACAGACAATTATCTCCCAGCTCTTCAGGAACCTGGGAGAAAGAAAATAAAGACAATTGGTAAATTTTACCAGCATTAGAGTTTCAACAGGTGGCAAAGTCGATGTAAGCAGAACTGAAGTAACATATCAGAAAGCCAAAGGTGGACATACATCTGCCCATCCATCCAATTCATGGGCTCCAAGCTTGAACACTGGAAAAGGAAGTGATGGGGGCTCCCACTCAGCTGCAAGTTTCAGTCACATTTTCCAGTCTAGATTTATCATCAGCAACAGAACACTCAATTCCAAACCTTGAAAACAGAGCTCCTCTATTAACTCCCCAGCTGGCTTAAAATCTAAAGTGGGTAGGAGGGCATGATCAACATTCCTCAGACCCTGGGACTTAAGGTTTACCAAGGGCCAGAAGGGGTCATGGAAGTGCAGTACTAGTGTGGACTGAACCAAGAGGCACTGGATTCAAGGATCTCAAAGAACAGCAGCTACTAGGTGTCAGACATGACCTCTATGTGTACACTGAAGTCTTCCAAGTTGAGGGTGAATTTTGGATGGAGAGGAAAAATGTAAGCCAGGTTCTAAAGATCTTGAGGAGCGCAAGGAAATGACCAGGAACATGTGATGGTGAACATCAGAAAGGGGTGGGAAGCTGGTGCCACCTGGCCTTAATAAAAGACTCTTCACAGGAAGGTACAGGAATAATGTTTGGAAGCCACAAAGGGAGAGCAGGCAAATGTCAAGCCTGATCAAAGCCCTCAGATTTTTCCAGTTTAGGCCAATAAATATCCTTCACTGAAGAAAGCTGCAGGGAAACAATAATCTCTGGGAGAAAGCTTGGTCTTATTTTTTATGGCAAACTATCGAATGTTTTGAGAAGACAGGAAAAATATATAGAAGCCTGATCCCGGGGGCATGAGGGAAAGGAAGGCTCAAAGGAGGGAGACAGAATGGAAGCCAGAAGGGTCTGGGAACAAGCTGTCTCATCCCATGCCATCAGAACTGACTGCCGGCTTTCCAGTAAGTCGGATGAAATGGGAAATGATTTTTTTTAATGACTTATACATACCATAAACACTTTATATAACTTAAAACATAAATGTACACACATGTGTCAGTCTTTTGATGTACGGCCAAGGCCCGTTTTCTGCATATGGGTCTGCTGATTGGAGCTATGCATCTTCTGTCTTACATAAACCACATCCTCCTTCTACGATTTCCAGGTTTGCTTTCTTTCAAGTGGAGGGAGAACCTGAAGACACTTGTGAAATAACTTGAATGCAGGACCTACCCAGGCTGCCATGACCCCCTCCCTACACAGTGCATCCTTTTGCCATCATCCTGCCTGCACCTAGGCAAAAGTAAAGCTTTTGTAGCTGACATTGAGTAAGTCTCAAAGCATTCTGCTTAGTGTTCAAAAAAATGAAACTCAAAGAATTTTTGCATCTGATCAGTTTGTGAACTCTCCACTTAAAGTATATAATTCAAGTAAGAAGTACAAGTTGCTCAACAGGTTTGAGGACAAATACAACACAACTGTCCCTTGTAAGGAAGACAGGTGAACTGGTGAAAGCAAGAGTGCACAGACACCCTAAAGAGAAGCCGTCTGTGAACGCCTCCATGTGCTGAGAGTGGTAACTGGTGGTTCCTAGGGAACACAGTATCAGTCAGCCTGCAAATCATTTGGGAGGTCAGTGAAGAGGACCTGAGTGAACCGGTGACAAGACAGGTCTTTTGAAAGGCAGCAAGGGCAGCAGTGATGTAAAATGTTATTAACCAGCTTCAAGTTTCCAAATGGAGCACAGGTAGAAATACTGCTTTTTTCATCCCCATGTGCATTCTTCTTCCTGTTCTTCAGTCTCTTACCTCCTAAAGCTTTTCTGTTTTGGAGAAGAGAGGCCAGGAGCTTAGAGAATGAGGTGGACGATCAGTGAGAGCTCTAGAGGAGTCTGGGCCTCCAGAGGAAGTTCCTTCTGGGTCCCAGGCATGCTCATTTCCTCCTTTCCCTGAAACACTCAAACCTGGGAGTTTGTCCTGCTTGCCTCTTTCACTGTGTACATCTCTTCTTCACCCGAGTTTTCTGCCAGATCACTGAAAACCAATATTCATATTCTTTCACATTCTCTGTCTCTCTTACTCTTTCTTTCTCCCCATTGGTTTTTCAGAAAGGTCACTCCTAGTAGCCATATACAAAGGGAAGGGTAACAAAACTAACAAAAACACAAATACTTCAGAGAAATGCTCAAAGGACCATTGCTATCTCTCATGGAGCTAGGCTGACCCTGCCTTAAACACTGTTGCTGATTCTCTTCCTTTAATGTTCCAAGGAATTCAGCACACATGCTCCATACTCCTCAGTGTGGAATTTCCCTAATTGCCAAGTCTCTCCCCATCACCTCCACAGCAGACTCAACAGACACTCTGGGTAGAGAGCACTGGCTGCTGCTAAAATGGCAATGGACAGGTCAGCCACTATTTACTGAGCACTCACTGCGGCTAATCGGTGTGTTAGGTGCCCCATAGGCTTCAGGCATCTTGTTTCATCCTCACTGAGCTGTCATCATCATCATCATCATCATCATCATCTCGTCTCACAGATAAATAAATAAGACGAGAGAGATTAAGTATGATGCCCAAGGTCACACAGACAGTAAGTATCAGAGCCAAGATTTGGGCCTAGGTAATGACTCTCACTGCCCCTTCTCAGAACACCCAGGCTCAAGTGAAATTCATTTATAATTCAGAAACATTTCTTATTGCTATACATAACATCAATGAGTCCTTTCCTCTAACAATTACCTCATCCATGTAACATAAGAAAAAAATGAGTTAGGGCATTCACCTAAGCAGATACATAAAAGAATTCTTTTGTAAAGAATTCTTTTGTATATTTGCTTAATACAACAAGGAAAAAAATTGACCAAAATATGCATTTTCTGGTCTAACCAGCCATATTTGGAATGCAAAAGACAATATTCCTCCTCCTCATGAAAGCAATTCCCACTCAGTCCTTTTCAGAATCCTTTCCCGACAGCAGACACATGATGTCTATGACAAAGTTGAGGGAGGGGATCAGGGAAAGAGAATCACACAACCAGACAGGAAAGATAAGAAACCAAATAGTCACTTGCTGAAAGGCCACAGAATTCAAACTTACTTTTTTGGTACATTTCTTGACAGTGTTGATTAATTCTTGTATTACCAGATCTACACTCTTCAAGGAAGGCCCCTTCAGCTTCACAATCTGTTTCTTCACTATTGCTTCAAATGCCATGTCTGGAGTAAACAACCCTGTCCTGAACGTAAGATAGAAAGTGGCACGTGAGATTTTAAAAGCTGAGCCATATTCTGCAATCTTGTGAAAATGTTTAAATGAATAAGCCACTTAAATGAAGCATGTAATAGACCAGGTTTAAAAGTTACATGGCGATTTGTTCTATCCACAGCACCACTATAATAATACCTGTAATACTGCTGAACATGGAAGACCAACTTTACCTAAATCAGTGCCCAAAACGTTTACATGGCATATAATGTGATCATCAACTCATATTTAACTGTAATTTGGTCTTAACTTACTGTTTCAGAGTAATAAAAAGAACTACTACAATAGAAATCATGTCAAACTTAAATTCCTTTTCTAAAGATCCTGAGAGCTGCCCTTTGTGGAGCAGCAAGTGCATCTCACTTTTTGCACACTGAATAGTGGAGTCTCTGGACTATACAGTTTATCCTTTCCAAAAGAGCTAACTGCAGTGAGCTTGGCAGTACCCATTCCAAGGTCCCAGGGTGCTGGAGGAAGAAGACGATGAGCTGAGCCATGAATTAATTTAAATATTTCAATATGCCTAAATTAAATTATGAATTTACCAATAACAAATGATAACCAAAATAACAGGCATGGAATTAATAATGGAATTAACTGAATTGGTGTCATAACAATGCTTTTCTCATGCTGAGCCAGGAGCTCAAGGAAGCAGATCTATACATGTGTATGTGTATGTGTGTGTGTATATGCATAAAAAGTGAAAAAATGATTACTCAACTTTAAGTAAAAGGTCAGTACAGAAAAGCTACAATCAGAGGGCCCTTGAGCTCTGTGTACCAGCCACAACTAAAGATTTGCAGGCTTCAGACTCTGGGCACCGGGTCCTCCTCATATCCAGGCCCTCTTCCTCTCCCCTTCTCTCTCTCTTTTTTTTTTTTGAGTTGGAGTCTCACTCTGTCACCCAGGCTGGAGTGCAATGGCACACTCACGGCCACCCCAGCATCGACCCGCTGGGCTCTGGTGATCCTTTTGCCTCAGCCTTCCAAGCAGTCGGAACTACAGGCGCGTGCTACCACGCCCGGCTAAGTTTTTTATTTATTGTAGAGATAAGGTCTCGAACCCACGGGCTTAGGCAATCCACTCCCCTTGGCCTCCCAAAGTGCTGGGATTACAGCCTGAGCCATTGAGTCCAGCTCCCTTCTCTCTTCTCGTTTGATCAACTTGTCTCTCTCCAACACTCAGTCCTATGGTACCACTTTTGGGAAATTTCTTTAACACCTCCCTTACACAAGTTTGACTCAATGTTCCTTCTTATCATTTACTTAGCACGCTGTGCTTACCTCTATTCCTAATCCTTCTCTAATTGTAATTTCTCCAAGTAAGATACAGAATAAAATCCAAATTATTCAGCCTAATATTAAAAATTGTCCACTATCTGACTCTAATCTTTCTTTGTAGTTATTTTCTCCTCTCCTTTCATGTACTCCATGTTTCTGTCAATTTGCCTTTATTTACACTAACATTTTATGTCTTTGCCTTTGTCTATGGGTTTCATTTCACGCTTTTTACAATTTCAGCCTATTCAAATCCCACCTGTGCTTCAAAGTCCCGCTCAAAAGCAACTATGTTCTACAGCTCCAGTCTTTCTCTGAACCCCAACTCTACTTCACATTGCAGTAATCTGAGCACATATTTTAGTCCCATTATGATACTAGCAGGGAGCGTGGGCATCTTGGTTTTCTTGGTTTGCCCCACAGGACCATCTCCCTTGCTTGCTCATGGTTGGCACTCAGAGTTGGCAAAACAAACAAGAAAAATAAAACGTCCTCTATCAGGTCCTTCATGGGCAAAGATAACTTCTATTATTCAAATATCTAGCAGAATCAAACGGGAATTTTTTTTTTCAAATTAAGTATGTTTAAGGGCCTTAGTAATCACACTATTATTATGTTTTATACTCAAGACATTGCACAATTCTTATCTTACAGGCAAATTTACCCTAGAATAGTGAGAATACCCAATCTCTTCTGTTGATATGCATGTAAGTAAAAAATCTACAACTAAAAATTACTGAGTTTCTGCAATAAAATTCAACAAAAATGTATCTGGTAAGGAGTTTTGCAAGCCAAGTAAAAGTACTACATTTGGTTGAGTAGAAATACTTTATAACCCCAAAACTGTAATATAGTTCCACTGCATTTATGAGATAAACATGCTCAAATACTAGATCTGCTAAAGAACAAGAGTGTCGATACCAAATATGTTCTGGGTTTGCTGAAGAAGAAAGAAAGTCAGGAACTTAGAAACCATATTGATGTTAAGAGAAAAACATCAGATTTGGTTGTGGATATTTCCTCCTTTTTATTTTTACCCATACTATTTGGCACTTGAGCAGACTGCAAATTTTAAAACAACAGATAACTCAAACATCCTAACTCTCTTGGACAGTCACCCGCCACACACACTCATCGTCAAGCTTTGCTCCCTCGGGGTCTGCTCCCAACACAGTCTCAACGTGGACCCGTGGCAGATGCTGAGCCGCAGCTGACAACAGACAGAGGACTTCTCCTTCATATGCTGTCATCTATGAACTAGGCAACTTATGCTTTATTGCTTGGAATTCAGGACACTTCAATTTCACATATGTTCATTAATTACATTTAGCCTTCCGTACAAGAACTCAAGAAATGTGCGTTTTAAAATTATTTTTATCATAGTTCTTTTAAAAAATGTGTTATCAACTGAATGTTTGCATTCTCCCTTAAATTCATATGTTGCAACTCTACCCCTCAAAGTAATGGAATTCGGAGGTAGGGCCTTTTGGAGGAGATCAGGTCATATGGGCAAATCCCCAAGGATTACTGTCCTTGAAAAAAGAGGCCAGCTAGCTAGCTAGCACTCTTTCTGCCACGAGAGGACACAATGAGAAGCTGGCAGTTACTACCTGAAAGAGGGCTCTCACCAGAACCCAACCAGGCTGGCACCCTTATCTCGGATTTACAGTCTCCAGAACTGGGAAAATAATCCTGTCTATGGTAATTTGCTATGGCAGCCAAACTGACTAGGTTAGAAAATGACTTTAAAAAATCTCATTTTAAACGAGGGGAAATCCAGGCATGAGTTTCACCCTATCCCTATCCTGCCCCGCTCAGGTCCCCGTGTGCTTCTCTCCACAGTCTTCACACCAGCCAGAACTCGTGACTTCCGTCCCCAGGGGTATGTGTTGTCCACTCCTTCCACTTGGGAGTCCTTTCTTTAATCCTCCAGCATCAATAACCTCCATTCCATTCTTCCATCCTCTCCTGCCTCATCATACCACCACCCACTTCATATATGTGCCCCCAATACACAAGCACACATGCATACACAATGCACACTGGCCTGTTGAAATCATTCTATCTTCAGGCAAGGTTAATCTCAAAAGTAAACACCTTCGTTAGTCTTTCCAATCTGGCTCCACAACTCCAGTCAAGATGAATCTGCCCTTCTCTGTGTAAGTAATGATCACTTCTGAGCATGTCTGGCTAAAACCCAAGGTTCTTCTATGAATTCCCTGTTATGTTGAGCACAGGCTGAAAATGCAGATGTTTTTGCTTTTTAAATGGGAAAAAACTGACTACAACAATACAGAAAATTATCATTATACCCCAAACCAGTATTTCCTGTTTCTTATTCCCACCTCTGTATTCTACTCTGGTCAGTGATGAAAAGACTACTTTAATAGCCATTTATAAACAAAAATTTTCTTTTGGTAGCTTAAACTGAAGACCAGAAAAATCTGAATCACTTGCCTGATACCATGTATGTTTTTGATTGCATAGCTTATTTCTCTTCGCAATTCTTTCTCATTGAACTCCATCTGCAGATGCAAAATGAGCCATGGTTATGACACTTAATTCCTTTGAATAATATTATTGAACATTACAGAATGAGAATAACTTGACTTAGTTATTAATAAATGGATACTCATGTTTTTCCTAACCTAAACCCAGATGGTCAAACCATCTGTTTATATAAATCTCAAGACAGTATAGAACATTCGGGATTTCTGGAAGTTTTAGTGCAGTGAATTTTAACTCTGTTACAGATATGGAGTGCTAGTATAAGAATGCTTCTGGACATAAATCCAGCCATTCATTTGTAATGAATAATTCTTAATTCTTTTGCTGAATATGGTAGAGTTGTGGGCATAGGTAAATGCATAAAGAGGGTGCCACCTGATGTGCAAGAGCAGAACAGCTGTACCAAACCTAACAAAGGCTGTCTTTTGTCCCAGTCATTTTAACCACCTGAGTTCAAGGCCTCTTTGTAAAAAAAAATTAATATTTCACCAATTCAACACAGGACAGATTACTGTACAAATTATTTCTCAGAAGTCCTAGGTACCATAAATCTGCTTGGAAATGGGATCAAAGTGTCATGAGCCTAGACCTGAAGGAACATCCAGAGAACATTCGGTTCGGCCCCTGGCTCCTGAGATTTGGCCTCTCAGGCTTCATTGTCTGTCCATTTCGCCCTCACACTTCATTCCCTGGAGCCATGAATTGCTTCAGGTCTGTATTCACACCCTGTGGCTTCACAGCACACATCCCTCATCATTCCTCCTTTCTGTCAGGAACACCCGCCCCACCCCACCTCTTGCTGCTGAGCTAGTTGCTCGTCTTTCCATGCTCAGCACAGAGGCCTGGCTCGCTGGGACGTGTGTCTGTGGGATTGTTTCCACAGCACCCTGCACTGAAGTATATCATTTTACTTAGCACATTTTTTTTTTTTTTTTGAGTTGGAGTCTCACTCTGTCGCCCAGGCTTGAGCTTTTCATACGCCCCCGGCCCCCGCAGCCTCGACCTGCTGGGCTCAGGCAACCCTTCCGCCTCAGCCTTCCCAGTAGCCGAAACTACAGGCGCGTGCTACCACGCCTGGCTATTTTGATTTATTGTAGAGATGAGGTCTCGCCAAGTTGCCCGGGCGGGTCTCAAACCCATGGGCTCAGGCAATCCACTCGCCTTGGCCTCCCAAAGTGCTGGGATTACAGGCTGAGCCATCGAACCCGGCCTACTTAGCACATGTTTTTGTTTTTTGTTTTTTGAGTTGAAGTCTCACTCTGTCACTCAGACTGGAGTACTGTGGCTGCTGCCAGCCACCACAGCCTCAACCTGCTAGGCTCCAGCGATCCTTCCGCCTCAGCCTTCCCAGCAGCTGGAACTACAGGCGCGCGTTACCACACCCGGCTAGTTTTTTTTTTTAATTTATTGTAGAAATGAGGTCTCACCAAGTTGCCCGCGGCAAGTCTCGAACCCGCAGGCTCAGGCAATCCACTCGCCTCGGCCTCCCAAAGCGCTGGGATTACAGGCTGAACCACCGAGCCCGGCTTACTTAGCACATTTTAAAGAAATGATCTATTTGCCCACCTGCCGCCCACACCAGGATGTAAGCCCCTGCCTCTTTGTATGGGCACAAGCACCACAGTCCCTAAGACTACATAACTGCCTATGGGGCGTTTTACACCTGGTTGTCCAGAACCATGCCTCTGTACAAATGCAGCTCTTCCTCACTTCCCTGACAAGCACACCCTACACTCAGCTGTGGAAGCCAAAACCCAAGGACTTATCTGAAATCTTCTTTCTTCCACATTCCACATCAGTTCAATCCCTGGCAATCGCACCTCCCAAATCCCGAAGCCTCCATGCCTCTCCATCCTCTCTTGCCAGGGCATTTTTCTCCCTTGCACAGCATCTTCCAAGACTTTGCGCCCAACTGTGTGTTTATAATTTTATACTCCTCTTCTTTAAAGGGGACTCCAAAACCGTAAAAACTTCAGGCCCCACAGAAAATGAATCCACTACTAGTCTGGCCCTACCATTTTCATTCCTTGACTTGTCTGTTACCTTTTGACAATCCAGCAGACATAGTGCTACTTCAAAATCATCAGATCAGGTCTCATCCCTACTTAAAACCCTCCTGTAACTTCCCATTATTAAACATAAACACCTTACCTCAACATTGAAAGCCTGTGTGGCTAGACACCTTCCTTCTCCCCACTCCCAATCTCAACTCCCCTCACCGCCTCTCCTCATCAACCATATCGGTTCCTCACCTGCCCTCTTCTTTCCTGCTTTAGGGTTTTGCCCGAGGTTGCTCCTTTGGCCTTGACCGACCCTGTTCCCCCAGACTTGTACATTGCCATGTACTCCTTTATGCCATTTTGGACACAATTTAAATGTCCTCTACTCAGACATGAACTATCTGAATGTCCCATTAAAAGTAGTTCACCCAGCCCCTCTCTCTCACATCATCTTGTTGTAATAACACTTGACATTTTCCTTTTTTAAAAAATCAATTTGTTAATCTTCTGTCTTTTCCCACTAGACCAAAAAGGACACTCTCTGTCTTCACCACTGGCACCTGGAACTTTAACGTATAGTAAGTCCTCAAGAAATATCTTTAAGTTAATTAGACAACAAATAAACATTGTAGGAAACCCAGTTGGTTTTTCCTTTTAAAATAATGTGAAATATAGTTAAATACCATTAAATAAAATCAAAATCATCAGAAAATATTTCTCTCCTTAATTTAATTTCGGGTATGGAGGTTTTTGTTCAAAGAACTATCTTAGTCTCATGGCACTCATGATAATATTTTATCAGGAGCTTTGTAAAGCAGAATATGAAATGAAGTGAACTGAGAGAAAGAAAAATAACATTTGGTACAAACCTTTACTATCTCAAAAGGGAAGCGTTCATGGAAAATACGATTGATTTTAGCACCACCTGAGAGTTCCAGAGTGTCTACTTGATCTCCTGATCCTTCAATTCTCTTCTCAAAGTCCACCGCAAATTGCTGAACCATTCTACAGTTGTGAAAGAGAAATACATTCAAGTCAAAGTTACAAGCCTTTGCATTCCTCATATTTACTGTGTATGTTCCTTAGAATTTCTTTTCTGGTGTTCTTAGTGGCACCTACTGGCAGAGTTAACACTGCACTCTATTCACACTCAAGATGTGATTATATTACATAAACATTGTTATGGTTTAAACATTCAATTAGGATAAATATTTTAAATATCTTTGTCTTTAAATGCATTCTGTCCATTTGGTTGCAACCATGAAATGGTATTAAAACAGAAACAAAGAACTGAGTACCACATGTTCTCACTCATAAGTGGACCCCGAACATTTACCATACTACTATAAGAAAGGGATTGGCAATAGCGGGACACTGCCAGGGGAAGGGGGCGGGAGTGCACATAACATTAATAAGCGTGCCTGATCTCAAACCAGGCAAAGTGGAGACCAAAAGGAGGCCCACACTTTACCTGTATGATGATCATGTGTATATCTAATACTGAATTGTACCCCACATCTTTAAAATTAAAAAATAAATAATGCCGGGCTCGGTGGCTCAGCCTGTAATCCCGCGCCTTTGGGAGGCTGAGGTGAGTGGATTGCCTGAACCCACGGGTTCGAGACCCGCCTGGGCAGCGAGACCTTATCTCTACAATAAAAATTAAAAAATCAGCCGGGCGTGATAGCGCATGCCTGTAATTCCAGTTACTTGGAAGGCTAAGGCGGAAGGATTGCCGGAGCCCAGCAGGTCGGGGTTGCGGTGGCCGGGAGCGGCCACTGTACTCCAGTCTGGGCGACAGAATGAGACTCCAACTCAAAATAAATAAATAATATAAAAGAAAAAAGGAATATTTATATTAAAAATTAAAGTTAAGCAATAAAACTTTATGTAGAACGGATAAATAAACCTTGGCTCCTATGACATCACAATCGCCTAGTGTCCCAAATGCTCCAGCAGAGCTCCTCATGCTATATGAGCTACCCTTCCTCCCCCAATACCACAGCCTCAATCTCTCCTTCTTATCCTATACCTCATCCTATGTAACCTCAAGGGTGCCATCGCTTCAAGGGTTAGCAATGGATGTTTCTCTGAGTCTTGCAGCCTAGCCCAGTGTGAAAGCGTGGCCATATTCCCAGCCGTCTCCTGGATATTTCCTTAGTTGCCTTGAATACCCCTAAAACTGAACCTCTCAACTTCTCTCATTCCCAAGCCTGCCAATTCGCCTGTACTCATGGTGGATGACCCACCTACCCACAGCAGGATATCTGGGGCAACCTGTAGTACTCCCTCTCCCTTACCCTGCACTGCTAGAGCCACCAGTCGCTAATCATTCCCCTGCCTTCACATCCCTCAGCCAGTAGAGCTACTCCTCTTCTCCCCCCGACATTACTTGGTTCAGCCCTCAGCAATGCCTCCTGGGATCACTGAAGCCAACTCCAGGTGACCATCCTGCCTTTGGACTTACCTTTTTAAAAAAAAAAAAAAAAAGATGTAAGGTACAATTCAGGGTTCGGTATATAAATATTCATTATGCAGGTACCCTTGTTGATGAGGTTGCCCCCCATCCCCCAGCAGATTCCCACTACTGCCAATCCCGCCTCCCACCCTAGCAGTTTCCCACTACTGCCAATCCTTTTCTTATAGCATTATGACAATTGTTCAAGGTCCACTTATGAGTCAGATCATATGATACTCAGTTCTTTGTTTCTGAGATAGATCACTCAGTATTATAGACTCTAAGACCATCCAAGTTGCTGTGACGTTCATAATTTTGTCCTTCTTTATGGCTGTGTAATATTCCATCGTGTATATGTACCACATTTTTTAAATCCAGTCCCCTGTTGATAGGCAGAACAGTTGGTTCCTTGTTTTTGCTATTGTGAAAAATGCTGCAATAAGCATACATGTGTGGGTATCTTTTCCATAGAGTGATTTGAGTTCCTCTGGGTATATTCCCAGAAGGGGGATTGCAGGGTCATATGGGAGGTCAATTTTTAGATCTTTTAGGAATTGCCAAACTGTTTTTCATAGACAGTGTATCAGTTTACACTCCCACCAACAGTGTAGAAAAGTTCCCTTTTCCCCACATCCTCTCTAGCATCTGTTATTTTTGAGTTATTGATGATGGCCATCTTGACTGCAGTTAGGTGGTATCTCAGTGTAGTTTTAATTTTCATTTCTTTGATGATTAGTGAGGATGAGCATTTTTTCATGTATCTGTAACTGCTCGTATGTCCTCTTTTGAGAAGTGTCTATTCATATCTTTTGCCCATTTCGCAATGAGACTATTTTTTTCTTTTTTGGCATGTTTGAGTTCCTCGTAGATCCTAGATATTAGGCCTTTGTCAGACATACAGTTGGTAAATATTTGTTCCCAGTCTGTGGGCTGTGTCTCCCTGCTCTCTTGATGGTTTCTTTAGCTTTGCAGAAGCTTTTCAGTTTGATGAGGTCCCACTTATCAATCTTATCTCTTATGCATGGGCACTTGGGGTTTTGATTAGGAATTGATTGCCAGTTCCAATTTCCATAAGGGTGCCTCCTGCATTTTCTAAGGTTCTTATAGTTTGAGGTTTTACGTTTAGCTCTTTGATCCATTTAGAGTTGATTTTTGTGTATGGTGATAGGTAGGAGACTTGTTTTAATCTTCTGCGTGTGGTCAGCCAGTTTTCCCAGCACCATTTACTGAATAGGTTCTCCTCTCCCCAGTGGTTGGTGGTAGAGGCTTTGTTGAAGATGAGTTGGTTCAGAGATTGAGGTTTTGCTTCTGGAATTCCTGTCCTGTTCCATTGGTCTACATGCCTGTTCTTGTACCAATACTAGGCTGTTTTGATTCTTGTAGCTTTATAATAAAGTTTAAAGTCTGGGAGTATGATACCTCCTGCTTTGTTTTGCTGTTATTGTTGTTGTTTTGCTGAGGATTGTTTTGGCTATTTATGGTTGTTTATGTTTTCATATGAATTCCTGTATTGTCATTTCTAGGTCTGAGAAGAATGCTGCTGGTAATTTAATGGGTATTACGTTAAATCTGTAGATTGCCTTGGGTAGGATGGACATCTTAACAATGTTGATTCTTCCTATCCACGAGCATGGAATATTTTTCCATTTGTTTGTGTCATCTTTGATATCTTTGAGTAGTGTTTTATAGTTTTAGTTGTAAGGGTCTTTGACGTCTCTGGTTAGGAAGATGCCAAGGTATTTCATTTTTTGTGTGGCTATTGTGAATGGGATTGTGCTTTTTATTTGGGTTTGTTTGTTTATTGTTGGTGTATAGAAATGCAACTGGTTTTTTGCACATTTATTTTATACCCTGAGATTTTGCCAAAGTCCTTAATCAGTGCAAGGAGGTTTTTAACAGATTCTCTTGGGTTTTTGAGGTATAGGATCAAGTCATCTGCAAAGAGGGATAACTTGACTTCCTCATTTCCTATTTGGATACCCCTGACTTCCTTCTCTTGTCTGCTTGCTCTAGCTAGAACTTCAAAAACGACGTTAAAGAGGAGGGATGAGAGCGGGCAGGCTTGTGTTGTTCCAGTTTTCAGGGGAAATGGTTCCAATTTCTGTCTGTTTAGCAGTATGCCGGCTGTGGGTTTCTTGTAGATGGTTCTGACTATTTTGAGGTATGTTCCATCTATGCCTAGATGTTCAAGGGTTTTTATCAAGAAGGGATGCTGGATTTTATCAAAAGCTTTTCCTGTGTCTAATGATATAATCATGTGGCTTTTGTTTTTACATCTGTTGATGTATTTAATTATGTTTATGGTCTTGCAAATGTTGAACCAGTCCTGCATCCTGGGGATGAAGCCTACTTGGTCATGGTAAATGATTTTTGAGATGTGCAGCAAAATTCTACAAAACATACAAGGAAGAACTGATACCAATCCTACTGAAAGTATTGAGAATTGAGAAAGATAGAACTCTCCTCAAATCACTTTTTGAAGCTAATATCACATTGATACCCCAACCAGGTAAAGATCCAACAAGGAGTACTACAGGCCAATATCCTTGATGAATATAGATGCTAAAATTCTCAACAGGATCCTAGCAAACTGAATCTAAGGACACATCTCAAAAATCGTCCCCCACGACCAAGTAACCTTCGTCCCTGCAAATATTTTTGTCAAGGTCAGACCTCACTCTGCCAGAACAACACAGATCTGCGGCCCCTAAGCCCCTCTACAACTGGCTCTGGATTTGCTTTTCAATGGCTCCCCACAATTTGATAATACAATCAAAATACCTTACCCTACCCCCCAAGATGCTTCATGGCCTGGCCCTGGCTACATCTTCAACCCCATCCTTCACCACTCATCCTGCTCACTCTCCATACCTACCATAAGGAAGCCACTTGCGGTTCTCCAAAAGTACCACGCACTGGTGATTTTACACGTGTTTTTCTTTCCACTCAGAATGCCATCCTCTCTTTCCCTTGCACTCTTGACTAATTTTTCTCTGTCCGCAAGACCCAGCTCAAGTATTTGCTTATTCCAGGAAACCTTTCCTGATGTGTGACTTTACCACCACTCCTCGTCATCAGTGAGGGCCCTCCTTTGCCTGCCAGGCAGTTCTAGTGGCGCACAGCAGAGTGCACCGCATCTCCCTGCCTACCAGTCACTCCTCTAAGGGGAAAGGCCTTCGTTCCACTCACCTCTCCCAGCTCAACAGATCAGGGAGAGTCAATAAGTACTAGCTAAATAAAGGAATGAGTTACTGTAATGTGGCCGGTTTAAAAAACAAGAAAGAAATAGAAAAACATAGCTGTTTCCATCTTGATTACTAGGTTTTGAAACTCTAAGTTTGACATATTGGAACTGCTTTCAACTTCGAAATCAAACAGGAAAAACATTCAAGTCATCTAAAATTTGTATCTTTTTATCTTCTTCCATCAAACTCATGGGTGAATAAAAGGGAACTGCAAAACATGAAGGCCAGAAAAGCCATTGTGTCTAGCTATGTCCATGTATATGCTAACGTAATTTTTAAAACACACCTGGAAGATATAACATGACATTTGCACTGAAATACTGATAAATTTTAGAAAATCTAGCTCCAGCCACTCCTTTGCCCAAGCCCTATGCTCCAGCCACCTAGCTCAGTAGAGATCCTCAAGCAGGCTGTACCAAAGTTTACACAATTCTCCCGCCCTCCTCCTTCCACCTGATGGAGCTTCTCTCACCCTCCAGCCTCCATGTTCTCTGTGAACTCACACACCTTCCTTCCTCACATGTAATTGCTTCCTCCGCTCAGCTCCCTTAACATTTTATATTTAGCAGAAACAGCATTTATTCTGTTTTAAAACAATTGTTTGCTCATATGTCTGTTTTCCCCTACTCTATGACTTCTTGAGAGCAAAAACCTTATTCATGGTTGAATCCCTGGTAGATAACAGAACCAGACAGAGAAGTGTGCTTGAGAAATTAGAGGAAGGAGGAAAAAAAGAAGGGAAGGCAGGAAGGAAGGAAGGAAGAGAAGAAAGAAATAGGTCAGAAAGGACAGGGCTGTAAGGAAGGAGCAGAATCAGCCCTCTACAAGTCAAAAATCTAGCTGTGAAAAATTCTGTCATCTGAGTCCAACAAAGTCAGAGGCAAGACCAGTCTTTGCATGGATAATAGTTTCAGTTGGATGTTAAGAGGGCTAGTTTTCCTTGCTCTGTAACTTCAAGAGTTTTTATAAGAACTTAACCTTACCTAAGAATAAAAAGAAAGAATAAGCTAGCAAAGAGTTACATCCATGAGAAACTTATTTTTTGTATGATCTTATCATTTTTTAATGAATTAATATAAGATGCATTTCAGATGTTATTTAAATAATGTGAGTCTTTTAAAATTTCCCCACAAAAACCTCCTTACACTGATAAAGGCCTTCGGCAAAGTTGCAGGATATAAAATAAATGTGCAAAAGACAATTGCATTTCTTTACACCAATAATAAACAAACAAAACCCAAATAAAAAGCACAATTCCATTCACAATAGCCACACAAAAAATGAAATACCTTGGCATCTTCCTAACCAGAGACGTGAAAGACCTTTACAATGAAAACTACAAAACTCTGCTCAAAGAAATCAAAGATGACACAAACAACTGGAAAAATATCCCATGCTCATGGATTGGAAGAATCAACATTGTGAAGATGTCCATCTTGCCTAAGGCAATCTACAGATTCAATGTAATACCTATCAAATTACCAGCAACATTCTTCTCAGACCTAGAAAAAACAACACAGGAATTCATATGGAAACACAAACGACCAAGAATAGCCAGAACAATCCTTAGTAAAAAAAACAAAGCAGGTGGTATCACATTACCAGACTTCAAACTTTACTATAAAGCTACAATCATCAAAACAGCTTGGCATTGGTATAGGAACAGGCATATAGATCAATGGAATAGAACTGAGATTCCAGAAGCAAAACCTCAATTTCTCAACCAACTCATCTTCGACAAAGCCTCCACCACCTACCACTGGGGGAGAGGAGAACCTATTCAGTAAATGGTGCTGGGAAAACTGGCTGTCCACATGCAGAAGATTGAAACAGGACCCCTATCTATCCCCATATACAAAAATTAACTCCAAATGGATCAGAGACCTAAATGTAAAACCTCAAACCATAAGAACCTTAGAAAATGAAGGACATACCCTCATGGAAATTGGAACTGGCATCCAATTCCTAAACAAAACCTGAAACCCACAGGCCATAAGAGAGAAGACAGACAGACAAGTGGGACCTCAATAAACTGACAAGCTTCTGCAAAGCCAAAGAAACCATCAAGAGAGCAGGGAGACAACCCACAGACTGGGAAAAAGTATTTGTCAACTCCAGGTCTGACAAAGGCTTAACATCTTGGATCTATAAGGAACTCAAACGTACTGAAAAGAAAAAAAAACAAACAACCCCATTATAAAATGGGCAAAAGATATGAGCAGACACGTCACAAAGGGAAGACATCCGAGCAGCCAACAGACACATGAAGAAATGCTCAACCTCACTAATCATCAGGAAGATGCAAATCAAAACTACACTGAGATACCACCTAACTCCAGTCAGAATGGCAATTATCAATAACTCAAAAAATAACAGTTGTTGGAGAGGTTGTGGCGAAAAGGGAACACTCCTACACTGTTGGTGGGAGTGTAAAATAGTGCAACCTCTGTGGAAAGCAGCGTGGCGATTCCTAAAAGCTCTAAACATCAACTTCCCATATGACCCTGCAATCCCCCTACTGGGAATATACCCTGAAGAACTCAAATCATTCTATAAAAAAGATACCCGCACACAAATGTTTATTGCAACATTGTTCACAATAGCAAGAACCTGGAACCAACCATGCTGTCTATCAAAAGAGAACTGGATTAAAAAAATGTGGTACATATACATGATGGAATACTATGCAGCCATAAAATAGAACAAAATCATGAATTTCACAGCAACCTGGATGGAACTAGAGTCTATAATACTGAGTGACCTCTCACAGAAACAAAGATCTGAGTATCACATGTTCTCACTGATATAGTGGACCTTGATCATCCAATGCACTACCCTAAGAAAATGACTGACAGTGGTGGGAGACCATGGGGGGAGTGGGACTAATGGTAGTAAACATCTGTCTGGGGATGGGGAGACACCTGTTATCAACAAGGGGGTCTGAATGAAGCATATTTGTATACCTAACCCTTAACTGTACCCCACAATATCATAATAAAAAATATTGATTTAAAAAAAAATGCTCCCCGGATAAAGAAAAGATAAATGCTTAAGGTGATGGACATCCCAATTACCCAAATTTTGTCATTATACACTACATAAATGTATCAAAATATCACATGTACCCTGAAATATGTACCTCTATTATGTATGAATAAAATAATTACAATAAAAAACAAATAAAAATAAAATTTCCCCACAAAGAAATTATATTGTGCATTCTAAATGCCAAATTAAGGGTGTTTTTGATTGCCAAACTGCAGAGGCATAAAACGCTGTAAGTAGTATCAAATATCTTTGGAGGTAGACCTCAGGTGTCCAGAATGTAAGCAGGGTAGGGGTGTTTTGTGATTGAGAGGGACCTGAGGCAAGTTGCATCACCAGGTTAAACAGACAGATGAGGCCAGAGAAGTTAAGGGAGATAATAAAGGTACAAGATATAAAGAGTTGGTAATTCTCTAACAACTCAGCTATCTTACCCCAAGGCTCCTCAGGGATAAATCTAGTATCCCAAGGATAACACAAGAAGATTGTAGACAAGTGAAAAGATGCTTGGCACTTTTCACACTTGTATTTTTAATAATTTACATTACCAAAAAGGGAAAATAAATTTAAATATGACCATATTACTTGTACTCTTTTAATTAAATCCTTGGTTTTCAGTCCACTAAAAATACATACAGATAAATTACATGAAATAATTGAAATTAAAAGGTGGTAAAGTACAAGTGACATGATTGAAAAATACATATGACATTTTCATCTGCATTTACCCACTTCTAAGATTAGGGACAAAATCCCCAGTGAATTATCACCATTGGTTTTTTTCTCACTGAGTCTAGCTTTTAGATCACAATTAAATTGGGCATGGAAATGGGCAATTGTTAAGTTTATAATAACTGAATAAGATCAATAATTATTCAAGAAAACACAAGGACTCAAGGGTCACTGTATAACATACAGAGAGCCTCATATATTTCCATGTGCTTCTGTTAAGCCTTGAAAACAACATGACAAATTAAGGCAAAAACAAACTGAAGAGATTAGTTTACAATGCTGAACAAAGGAAGGGAAAGGTGACTTACTGTAGCAATGCTTTGGTCTTCCTGGTGGGGTCTTCTGGTTTGAAGTTTTTGTAGGCTTCTACTTCATGTTCTATGGAGAGCAACTGTCCCTGTAACTTGTTCCTGAAGTTTGGCAGGGTATCTCGAATGTGGTTGGTAAGTTGCTAAATAAAACAAAATCATACACATGTATAACAGATTAAAGATTAACTCATGAGACAAAAATCAGCCCCCATTGTTTTCCTGATCATTCAAAACTTTAAAAATCCTATATACTTGTGAGACTGACTATGCAAGTAAATAGTGAGAAGCACGACTCCCTTTCCCTGTCCTTCAGAGATGCCCAAAATTCCTTCAGTCACTCACTTGGGCTATCTCATTACGTCAGGGAAGACCCTGGTAAAATTCAGCTAATGTTACTAATGAGGCTGCCTAATAGCCCTTTAGTGTGGACTGATTTATCAGGGCACTGACCTTGCAGAAAGGTTAAGTTAGAATGTGGTACAAAGGAAGGAAGCCGCCTGATATTCTCAAGGCTGAGCGGCTTACCACACTGATGAAGCTTAGGCAGCCAAGGGCCAGAGGTTCCTGTCCACTTTTAACTTTCCCTGCATTCTTCAGTTAAGGCAGGTCCCTCCTCTTACGTCATGGCTAGGCCCCAGTCCAGCTCTGGTTGGCCACTGGCTTGTGCCTTCAACAGACTAAACACAAAAACTCCAGGACTGAGTGAAGAGAGCTCTCTCTGCTTCTGACATCACTACCTATCCAACTGCTTTGGTGTTTCCACTGACATCAGCTGGCACCTTAAGCTCAGTGCAATGGAAACTGTTCTGAAAGACCATCTAGGAGTACAAGCTTAATTAAGAACAAAAGTGAACCTAAACCTAGACTGTTCAGCTCTCTGCTTCTGTTCTTTCTATTACAATACAGTTAAAGACTGATTAAAGTTAAAAGATAACCTTAAACTGCTTAAGTAATAAACTCAAGAGAAAGAGAGAATATAAATTTCCTAAAAAATGCAGGAAAGGAAAAATAAATTAAAAGTCAGGAGAATTGATATACCCAGATAGACCAAAGAAACAAAATCACCTTCATGTTTGTCTGAGGATACCTGAGTACATCAATTCAGTAAGTCCATAGTTATTTATTGTTGGTCATTCATAATCATCACTTCCTTGCCCACAATTATTAACTGTTATGTTAGCACCCTGGCACATGCTGCTGTCGTGGCTATGAAGCAGGCCACAAAAGAACGGCATTCCCATGTCACAAGAGCAAGGACCCCAACCTCACAGTAACAGCAGCCACAAGATGCCAGCAGCTACTTGACAGCATGGGAGCTGGTAAGTAACAAAAATACTTGGTTTTCACCTTTTGTCCCTCAGATATCTCCACAGCAAAGCAACACTGTGGACCACTCCTGGCTTTCTGAAGCACTTCATCCCTTGCATCCATGACACTAGACCTCTCATTTTTCTCCTAACCACTCTGGATATATCTTCTCCATCTCCTTTGACAATTCATTCTCTTCACCAGACCAGTAATCATTGACACTTCTCAAATCTGGGTCCTAGGCCTCTCTATGTTTGCTCTCAGTTCTCTCTTAAGGTAATCTCATTCCCTCAACGGCTTCAATAAATATCCAGACACCTTCAAATGTCTCCAGATAGGACTTCCTATGTTTGTTATAGGCAAACACACTTGACTTCTCCTCTTGAACGTGTCAACAGCACCTCAACCTCAAATGTGTCCAAAATCAAGTACCTGATCATCCTTCAGGGTTTCCCACTTTGTTAACTTCATAACAATATGGATACTTGAGAGTTAACGTTGACTCCACCCCTCCATCACCCAGCAGCACTAATCTATAAACAAGTTCTTAATTTTCCGAAACATTTCTTAGTTGGCTTTCTGTTCTATCCTCTCAGCCCTAACCATGACCAAGCTATAATAATTTCTCACTTTTACCTCTAACTGGTCTACTCTTGATCTTCCTGCCTGCAGCAACATATTCTTTTTAAAACCACGGATCTGTTTGTCATTTCTTTACTCTGATCCCTTAAATAACTCCTCAGTGTCCTTAGAGGAAGAGTCAAAATTCTCAACTTGGTCTACAAACATTGCAAGATCTAGCCACTGCCTATGTATTCAACTTTAGTTCATGCAACTCATTCCCTTTTCCTCTGCTTTCTTCCCAAATTTTTTTCAATTCCTCACAAACACCATGCCCTTTTCCAGTTTTTCCCATATAAACTGTCCCTCAGGGTCAGCTGTATCGGTGCACATTGAATCAGCAATAAAATTATTCTATTTTCTTTTTTTTTTTTTTTTTTATTTGAGCTGGAGTCTCACTCTGTCGCCCAGACTGGAGTGCAGTGGCCGCTCCCAGGCACTGCAGCCTCGACCTGCTGGGGTCCGGTG